TCATGATTGGCTGTTGGGTCCAGATTGTTGACCAATCAGATCTCGTCTTGATGCCGGACCGGCAAGCGTCCCGAATTTTGGGCCAACCTCGAGCGGGCTAGGCTTCTCGGCCATAGCAGCGCCTAAAGACGTGCGGTATAGTGGGATCCGCGTGGATTCCTGCCTAACAGTTTGGTTGAAAAGGTCCAGCCAGGAGCCAATGTTATTGCACTATCCGCTGGACGCTGTGCTAGTGCTACGTCCATGCTTTCCGGGTTTCTGGGTGTCGTGGTATACGGGGGATCCGCGTGGATTCCTGCCTAACAGTTTGGTTGAAAAGGTGGGTCCAGGAGCCAATGTTATTGCACTATCCGCTGGACGCTGTGCTAGTGCTACGTCCATGCTTTCCGGGTTTCTGGGTGTCGTTTGTGGTATACGGGGCCTGACATTTGATTGATTTATAGGTAGTGTACACGCTATGATATCACTAGGAGACTGATTTTTCGTAGGCAGGCATTCACGACAATTTTTTGGATGGAAAAAATGAAAGCTCATGGGCCAAAACCCAGTAAGCAACATCATACATCCCCAATGCTCGCATATAAATTTATCAAGCTGGCAGACGCCTTATACTACACTGATCCCCTTTTTGAAGAACATCGTCCCAGGTGTACCATGGCTTACGTGAACCGACAGATGTTAATAGTGGGGCGCGTGAGGCTGGTGACCGTGTGCGGAGATTGCTGTGTCTGGGGCTGCGTCCGCAAGTCGTTTCATGCACAAGTCAAACCGAAGCAAAAGATTGACTGGTTCGAGTCACGCGATCCATATCAAAACAAAGGACTACTCAGGATGAGGACTAGTAACTTAACAGAGGTTTGCATCAAGGGCATCCCGTGGCTCGGTGGCCGGGTGGGGCCTGTTGGTCCGCATTTCAAATACGGGCGACATCGTCCGGCTCCTTCTCGACTTTCTCCGTTAGCACGTTTCTCGATAGGGCACTACGGCTATTGCTGACAGTCTTGTACAGCATAAAATTTCATTAACTAAGAGTGAGGCAACTTAATGTTCAGAGTGCGAAAAGTCTTGAATATGCATACATATCGAAGACTACGTTTAAGTATGAATCGAGATTTCCGAAAATACAAATGTCGAGTTCTTGCCGAAATTTAGTTGGAAGAAGTAATGAGTGTAGTCAGAAACAAGTTGCGTGAAGAAAGAAAGATCAGCGGAGAGCAATTCAAGGCACGTGGATACGCCATGTGGTGTTGAGTTTACCTATTCATTATGAACGTTGAATCGTACATACTTCACGTGCAGAAACAGAGATCTCATGGTGTCAGTTCTTTAAATTGTTTCACGCTCTTTTCTAGCTTCCACTACAGTCTATCTTCACTTAGATTATGTGCCTTTACAACTTAACTCGTTTTTTCCGGCTTGCTCAAGGATGCAGTTTGAACGCGCGCACTTCCTGGCTAGTGCACAACTACCAATCAGAGTGAGCCTGTGCAGAGGCTGCTGTGTCGGGCTGCTTCAGCCGTATGTGATTGAGCAACGTGTTAGCCCTGAGGCCTGTATGCACATGTGTATAGCCAGGGTCCCTGTGGTATTTCCATCAATGTGTGGTAAGCTTCCTGGCGAGATGGCCCAAGTGGTTAGAGCGCGAATTTACGGACAGGAAGGTCCGTGGTTCGAATCCGACATCCGCCACTCGACTTCCCCTGTCTAGGCTTGGGCAATCTGGCAGTAACCCAGCCCTCGTGCTTCCTTCGGGTGGTATGGCAGCTAGGTATCGGAAGGGTGATACGGCTGAATGCTTTAATCTTCCTGGCGTGGCCGCAAAATATGTAATATGCGCGCTATGGTAGCACTGTTTCTCCGAAAGCAGGTGCTCACGACAATGTCTGTGGGTGAAAAACGGATGAAAGCTCATGAGCTGAAGCCCAGTAAGCAAGGTTGTACACCACCAATACTTACATATAAATTGTTCAGATTTGCAGATACCGTATACTACATATGTAAGTATTGGTGATGTATAACATTGCTTACTGGGTTTCAGATCTTAGCTTTCTTTCTGTTTCCCATCCACATCAGCTGTAACACCCTTTCGGTGTCTAGATGCCGTGCCACCCAAAGGCTGGAATACTGCCATACTTGTTGGGGATATCAATATCCCCCCAAAAACTGTATTTTTATGTATGCTAGCGAACTTCCGGCATCTTCAAGGTCAAACTATGACTATATATATGCATTGCCATTTTTTCCCATGATCGCCTGTTGATCGCGTGTTATTGGATCATTAAAGTTTGTGTCCGAGGTTTTTTGTCTTCTTACTATCCGCCGTGCTAGGAGTCTGGATCAAGCAACATAGCTGGGGATAGAGTATTGCCACGATCCGCATATCATATTGTTTTGCTCGCAGCGTGATCGAACCGTAACAATATTGTCCAAGCCTAGACTGGAATTCGAGATACAGAGGTCGGATTCGGACCACGGACCTTCCGGTTAGTAAATTCGCGCTCTAACCACAGCCATCTCGCCCCTTCCATCCAACTAAGTTGTCAAGGAAGCCTACCTTCGGAGAATCACTGTTTCCATAGTTAGCACACTACATGTTGCACAAGGTTCATGTACGAAGCGTCGTAAGTGGTTTCTAGACATGTTTTGAGCAATTAGTACACTCAGTGAAATTGATGATTCTGCTGAAAACAGTGGAGACCCGAAAACTGGGTTGACGCGTAACCGTTATCTCACTAATTCTTCTGAGCGGTTCGGTGTTCGATCGGTGACACCTCAACCACCCATTGAGCCCTACTGGGGGATGTCCCCGCGACTTTCACAGAGTTTCTGGTACCAGTTTTTCAACGTTTAGAGGTATGACAAACACCGTCTCCTGGCCATCCAGGTTGGGGGTTGGAACATATGCAAACTTGTTCCGTAGGAACAGTACTGCATTCGCATTTCCCGCAAAACACGTCTTACGGTTATCTTTTGAGCCAAAGACTCTGGCTGAGGATCCTAATCTTCCTCCTGCCTAGATGTGTGCGCCAGCTCACGTACAACCATGACACTTATAACTAACAATACGCTCACGCCACATCGGCCGTCGCGTGGTGCCATCAGCCGCGTCGCCTTACTCGCTGCATACAGCAGGGCGGGTAAGCGAAATCAGACTGCTGCTGACACCTTTCTTTTTTTCTCCCCATCTCCCCAACCCATTAATAACTCGCCCTTGTAGACTTAGCACTTAGGACTCGCCTTGCTTCCGCGTGCAACATCTGCTCGTCAAACGGCACTGACATCCTTAGGTGTCTTAAGATAAATTTTCAAGCCTCCACGCCCAGTCTATCTAGCCGCCTTCAACGTCCACACTCTAAAGCAGGCATCTCAACAAGCTGCTCGCTCTCACGATAGACTCGCTTGACAATGATGTGTGCTACGTCTCAGAAATGAGAATTCAAGATTCAAGCACAGTGGTTGAGCTCACCGCCCCATCATTCTCCACTCGCTTACGGCTACGCACCTCTGGTGATCCAGAGGCGGGATGTGCAGGGATTGGTATCATCCTGAGTCACCGGGCGGAAGTATCCTTGCTTGACTGGATACCTACTGATAGTCGCCCCTGCGCGGTTAGTCTGGCAACGTCTGTGAAGGGGCCTTACAAGCGGGAAGTTGCACCTTTTTATCGTGTTTGCTCACGCCCCAGCTGACTGTATCTCCGTCATCATCATCATCATCGACAGCATGACATCAGTGTTCAACACTGATGCTTCACTGCCGTACAACCATGACTTATTTGAAACCCTTATTGTGAAGAAAAGAATAAAGGTGGATGGGGGAGGGACATAGTGCTAGCTTAACACAATCATTCCGAGGTGCCTACACCTCCAGACATTCACTCAGGCAATCTGGACAGAAACTGACAACAAGAACGCCACTGACATCGGTTGGCAGCCATATCTTGTAGTGTCTCCAACCAGGCACAGTGAGGATCACGCGGTCCCCATCCTGGAAGAAGAAATCATGCCATCGACCGGGTCGCCTTAATCCCCGAATGCAGCAGGATGGGGAAACGAAATCAGACAGTAACTTGGTTCTGACACCATAGCCTGTTTTAGTGGCGCGCTCGCCCAGTCGTATAATAGCACTTCGTACTTTGAGGGTGAGAGACGCAATTCGAAACGCATGGTAACATCACTTAGGTTATTTGGTGTGTTTCTTATCTGAATGGAAACTGAAAGAAGTAGCGCAACATTGGCCAAATATTCAATGAATTTAAGGGCTTCCCAGGAAAGAAGGTCCAAAATTAGGGTGAAAGACAACAAAAGTTTCTCACTTAATTAATCCACTATTAGGTTATGGAGAAAAGGTGACAAACAGTAAGCCTGAAGGGCACCACTTTTGGTCATGTTGGGAGAGTATTCCCAGCAGACCTTAACGCGCCCGCAGGTATATAGTATGATGGTTGGAGGACTGTGAAGAAAATGCGTGGCACACCATTGAAAGATAGACATCCCCACAAAGCAGCGCGACCGAGCCGGACATTACGTTCAGACATGAGAACAACAATTATTGTTTTTCTGTGTGACGATGCTCCAGCAGTTGTCGTGAGGTAGAGATATGGTAAATGCAGCCACGACCCGAACGGAACTCTGCTTGGTTTTCACGGCTCTCCTCACAAAGGTGCTGGTATTCCTGCGTGGGATCATATCTGTGGGCAACTTGGAAGCGATCATGATCAAACGGGCACTCTGATAATTGGCTGATATTCAGATATAACATCTATTTTGAAGACAGGAACGACATCAAATATCTGCTATTCCTTTGGCACTTCCTGTCTTACAAATGGTGTGCACAGGTGATTTCGAGCTGAGTAATTCTCCGTCCTTAGACAAAGCGGAGAAAGACAGTAAAAACCTTATCCCTTCATCTTCTGTTACGACCGAGCCAATAAAGTCCCATTGTGACCTTTGACCTTTATCTTGGAGATATGTATCACTGAGGGATTAAACTTGAATCGGGTCGTGGCCTGGTTCACAACCAAACGCTAAACTCTGCACTCCCGATTTCGAAAAAGTCTGTATTTTGCAGCCTGGCTTATTGTGGCTCCAGTGACAATTTTTTCACGACCTATCCTTAGCAACACTGGATGTCCTACAGATGAATGGTCTCCTCATCGGAGCGGAAAAA